TCCTCAGCCTCATGGGAGTGAGGGGACTGGGGACAGAGCTGTCACCCTGCAAGGTGCAGGGCAGCTGGACGTCTGGGAGTCAGATTGGTTAGAACTCAGGTTTCTTGACATGCTCAGGCTGGCACCCAGTGGGGGATGCTCAGTGGGAAGCAGACAGGATAGAGCCCAATGCTAGCTGTGGACATAAGTTCAAAAACACAGTAGGCCAGGGGCTGTGCACGGAGCTTGCTAGAGGCTTACAGGGTGGAAACAAGAGGCCTGGATTCAAGTTCTGGTTCTGCCACTCTCTGCCCATGGGCCATGGTGTGTGCTGTCACACAGTGTGACTCATTCTGATCACCTGGAAAGGGAGGCAGGGGCGGGGATGGCGGTGTGAACAGGCTGGGACTTCGTAGAGCTTGCTCCCGTTCCAGGGTAAGAACGGCTGGGGATGCTGGACTTCGTGCTATGAAAAACGGCTGAGCAGAACGCAAGACCTTGGGGTGTGTTTCCGGGGTCCTAGAAATTGGTGGGGAAGTTTGGTAAAGCATAGAAGATTCTGGGGAGGCTAGCTAGGGATGGTCCAGAATGCCTGCTTTCTGCCCAAAGTGTCTATTCTGGTGAGTATTAAGATCAAACTGGCTTTTAATATACTTTAAAAGCAGAAAAGGGAAGAAAATCAATCGGTTCCTTTTTCCTTCCCTGCAGAGGCTGAGTGTATTGATAATTTTTCTTTAGCCAATTAGGAGCTGTGCAACCCAAATGACTGACTCTTTTTGAATTCTCTTATTTTGTAATAATGAATTCATGACTCATTATTATTCTTAAAAAAAAAAAAAGAAGTTCCAAGAAGAACAAACAAATCAGCCTGATTTCCTCATCCCTTTCTCTGTCACTTGATTGTCACAGTCACATGTCCTTATGTTTGAATTAATATCAATAATTTTAAGAACTTCTGAGTCAATCCATTGATGACTATTTTTATGTACCTCCTGTGTGCAAAGTACCTAAAGAGAGTCAGATTATCTTGGGAATTATGCAGTGTGATACATACACAGTGCGAAGGCCCATTTGTAACTTCCATACTCAGCTTACCCACCCTGAAAGGCAAGAGTGTCCGGCAAACGCGGTTGGCTTTCCTAAAACACGAGACATATACCTTCCTTCTGCAGAACAAGACAGCCATGGCTGAATTGAGCATGGAGCACTCACCACCTTGCAGGCCTAGCAAAGGCTACGCAATTATGAACTTGGAAAAGACAGTTCAGGAAAATCGAGACACTGCTTGTTCAAAGAGATCAGGGATGTAGAATGGACGGCAGAGCTGCCGCGAGCAAGCAGCATGTGGAGGGGGTGACAGGAGCAGCCGTGGATGGAAGAGGAGTTCAGAAATTCCGCAGAGGAGATTTCAGCAGTCTGAACAGAGAGAGAGATTTCTGCTCTGCCTCGCAGCGAAGAGAGGGGCGAGAAAGAGAGAGAGAGAGGAGGGCGCGTTTCTGCCACAGACCACGCGGTACCACCTGCTTTCTGCTAGCCTCAGCAGGGCTGGAAACCCCCTGGGGGAGAGACGTGGAGCCGGATGGAGGGCAGGAAGGCTCAGGAGAGAATAAACACAAAGAGCGAATTTCTTGCTGCCCCTGGAGACAGCGATATCTTCTGCGACAACAGAGGTTAATATCCTGAGCAGCGAGCTCCTGCGCGGCCCGCAGACGCCTGGCTTGGAACAAGCTGTTTTATTGTCCTGTGATAGGTTTTATTGAACTCTATCCTGAATGGGCCAATTCCCCTCTCCATTCAGATGCTCTTAATGCAGGCTTCGTGAAAAGTTTACAAACTTCTGTCACTCTTCACCTACCTGTATCCGTGTGCACACTGTCGCCCACCCGCTCAATCCCACTAAGGACACCGGCCTGCTAGGGGTTTCAAGTTCACGCACAGAGACACCGCTGTTATTAACTCCGCGGAAGGCACAAAAGAATAAAGGTGTTAGTTTTCCCTGGATTCCCCTCCCCTCCCGCTGTGTCTACTCCTAACAGGTGGGCCCGTCCCTTCTCGTGCCTCAGCAGACTAATTCATTTCAAAAACAGCGAGAGACGCAAGAAAATATTTCGCGGTTCTTATTTTCACCAAGAAGTGAACGACGACGACAAAAATCATCTCGGGAGACAAAAAGCCCCAGCGAAAGCCAGAGAGCAGAAGAGATCAAGAGACAGGGTTGTGTTCCCTCTGAAGTCATGAGCAGCCTCTTAGGGAGAAGACTCGTTTGCAACTTCTCAGGCACGGGCACCATAAAGAGGTGATGGGGATCTTTTTTGAAAGTCCAAGTTCTCACATAAAAAAAACATAGGTTGGGGGAACGGACACACGGAGAACTTTATTTCCATGAAGAACAACGCCTGTTTTAAATGCTCAGAAAAGCAAGCACACGAACGCCCCACGACACCCGTCTGTGCCCACCTTCAGAAACAAGTGGACTGATAATCTTGGGAAATCAGTGCAGTCTTTGAAAATAAGTAGCTTAAAATCTTCCAACTGTTTCTCAAGTGGCCAAGGGCCAACTTCCTAAGGGGGTCCTGGGCCTGCGAAGCCCCACATGGACCGAGGCTTTGGAAATTAAAGGCCAGGTTGACCGGGGGCCATGAACACCCACCCTTCCTGCCTGGGCCCTGGCTACAAGTGAATGCAGAATACCAGTTCTGGAAGGGGCCTGGCCCAGCTCTCCCCTCACTGCATGGAGGCCCCAGGCCTGGGGAGAGGGGCCCAACCCCACAGCTCCCGTGTGTATCACACAACCCTAAGGAAGTGTTGCAACTCTAACCCTTTTAGGGATGATTCAGGGAGAGAGAGGGCGTGTGGCTTGGAGAGGAAGTTAGAGGGGACAAGCAGCATGTTTGGAGATGTGGACCCCAATCAGACGGACTTTCAATGAAAATACTGAAGACTTGTAATGCACAAGTGGTCCAAAGCTCCCTCTAGTCCTCTTGCCTTCTGGGAATTATTAAATGTTTAAAAGATCATACTATTAAGAATTTGCTAATATAACCCTCATAAAAAAGTATATGTATACCAAGTCACCAGTTCTGGGGTATATTTCTCCTAAAAGAATGTCCTATCTTTTCTCTGCTCTCTTGGCCACATATCTCCATCCATCTAACTAAGATCTAAAGAAAGCAAATTGCTACTGTAATCATTTTCCTAAAGCAGCCCTCATTCACTTTGCTTTTTTTCTCTTTTGGAATAAAAGTCTGCCATAAATGTTTAATTAAATGGAAGTCTTTTCGTTGTTAATGACTAGCTGCATGAAAGGCTCTTCATTTTTTTTTTTTTAAAGGAGGGGTGTGTTTAAAACAGTCCCTATTAATTTCAGGATATTGATTCTCTGGCTGGAGAAGAGCATATAGTATTCAGCATAGAGCTGCTCTGCAGACTCTGTTCAAGGCAGCGGTTTGGATTGAGAAAGGGCACCAAATGCAGTATGCGTCAAATAGACCATTGCTCAATGAAGTCACTTAGCTATTCAAAACATGTTCAGCCATCACTCAACCGTTTGCACCAAGAATGTTGGGAGGTGGGCATGGAATTGGTGTCCTTTCCCAGACACAAACACTTCTCGAAGAGTGGCTTTTGCTCAGTTTGGGTTAGACCCTGGGGCCACATCAGTTTCTCCCTCTCCTGTCTGTTTCTCTCTTCTCTCTCACATCTCCTGGCTTCAACTCCCTGCATCACCATCCCATGTTGAGCTTAACAAACAATCCTGCAGTCCCTGCTTCCTGATGCTGCCTCCAACGGCCTCCGGTATTAGTTCATATCAGAAGCAAAGCACATAAGCCTTCTCTCCACATGGAAACATGTATCTCTCTGTGCACATCTTTCTATGGTTGGCTGTAGCTTGTACACACAGACATATGTAGCCATTCAAAAACAGTCCCACCTATTAAAGTCTGTTGCTAAATGCAGGTTGTATGACCTGCAGGAGTTTTTTTTTTCAGTGTTTATTAGTGTGTCTCAGAAGCACATGCCTTCATCCGAACCCTGATCTCCCAGCCTTTACCCTCTGCCCACAGCACATGCACCGGCACGCATGTCCCAATGACCCTG